TGTAATCTGTAATCTGTAATGGAATACATTTGAAAAGTAACCTTCCCAACACTGTCTACACAGTATTCCAGGAAGTGATATCACTGATATTGTACAGCATTGTTTTATTATGAGCAGTGAAGGATATAACGGTGTCCACATCCTCTGTGAACAGAGCTCAGTGTGCGTCAGTGAAGCTGAACACACAGTGTTGATCTTCAGCCAAACTGGATCATCTGTGAGGCTCAGTTTAGAAAAAGTTTGAGCAGATAATGATTTACTGATATTTAATGACAGAAACAACAGTGAATGAGGACAAAGCAGCACAACAATCTATTTCATTTGTTTGGTTTAGCACCATTTATCTACACATGTATGATGGAAGGTTACGTACACGTAAGGACTAAACATGGCTGCTAAACAGAAGGTCTGAGGTGCTCACAGAGACCATCAGGGGGTTTTCCCTTCTTCTTCATCCCTTCTTAACATTTACATAGTTTTATATGTTGTCATTGCATTTAAATGACCTGCTTTTCCAGACTGAGCTGTGGCATTGCATAAAGGTTAATGATGAACTGAAGCTACTCTGTGTGTCTTACATAAGTTCAAGAGGCTGGAAGAGGAGCGAGACGAGGCGATGAAGAAGCTCTCTGAGTTCCAGCAAGGTAAGTTCACCTGTGTCCAGAAGTGAGATCCCCATTGCACCAACATGTTTAACTCACTATTGTTTGCACATCAATGCTTAATACACACATCACAGCTCTGAGCATGTGTCACACGTGTCTATGGCGCTGACGCATACAGTGGGTAAGATCTACGATTGTGAAATTGTCCAGCGTCTGTAGCTTTTAGAGCTGCACTCTTCCTGCTCTACATGCCAAAGTCCGTTTGTTGAGTAAACGATTGAAGCTCTTTGGTTTGGATTTATGTGAACAGCTGACAGTTTAAAGACATGCATACCTGACACATACGACTAAAAGGAAACGCCTTTGGGCTTTGTGACAAATCCATATTCATGAATTACTTACAATGGAAATACAGTAATAAATTCACAAGCAAAAAGTAATAAGTACAGTCAGTATGTAACACAATAACTATCAAACTATCAGAAATT